TAGTCTTCCATCTCTACTCTCATTATAAAAAGGTGGCTGCGATTGGTTCGCCCGTCAGGAATGACACGTGCTCTGGGGTCAGACTGTGAAGGGTATGTGGCATTGTCCTTTACCCAGTAAATTGTTGGCCTTGGGAGACCCCTAGCAGTGCAGCTTAAGGTAGCATTGGAACCGATCAGGACACTTTGGTTCTTTGGACCTTCAACGATCGTAGGTTTCTGGGCATCTGCAAATTGACACAGAAAGAATTGATATGAATGAATGGGACGTTATGAATTATCTCATTGGTAATCTTTCTATTGGAAGTCGGGGCCCAAGGCTTTTTTGCCGCTTAAAAGACCCGGTTTGAAGAGAACTAAACTTAAAGGGGAGTCTTGGTGATAAGAGGACTGAGGAGGTACAGTGACCGGGTGAAACTGAAATGACAAATTTTAAATTTTGCATTTTACAGAAAACACTGCTTATTTTCTAGCTCTCGATACTCTGGTGACACAGAGAGTTTTTTACAATCTACGGAAATATCTCGCTTACTTGGTGATGGGGGAATTTCATCGGGAGACTGAGTTGACATGCAAGTAGAAGACTTCGTGGAGTTTCAACTTTGAAATGATAAGGAAAACAAATAATAATGCATATTAATGACTAACCTGTACCTTTCGGGGTTAAGAAAGCTGGCAACGACAAATTTTTACCACCACTGTTTTTGGCCTCACATTGATATTTGCCAAAATCTTCTTTCTTCACTCTTGTAATAAACAACTGGCTGTGCATGGTTTTGTGGTTTGTTAATGAATGTGGATTGTTAATGAATGTAACCCTTGGGTTGGATTGTAAGGCAAATGAATCATTGTTTTTGATCCATGAGATGTTTGGTTTAGGAAGACCTGTGGCGGTGCATTTGAAAGTTACATTGGCTCCTATATCAGTGCTTTGGTTCCGAAGAACTCCAACTAACTCTGGCGCAGGACCTGTAGGGAAAACGTACATTGCAATAAATATCCCCTGTTATTACTGATATAATCTGGTAGGAAGCTTATTCAATAAGCAAATGTCGGCAGAAGAAGAGGATATTTTCATTATCACACTTTTGTGTCACACAAGAAGATAAATTGCATATGCAGGTACTAAGAAAGAACTATTTCAGGCCAACCCTCCTTGAGTGTGAGCGTCTTCCTTTTTTCATTCTAATAATTATCATTACCTTTTTTTTGTTTCACAAAATAATTCTTTTCTCATCTTCCGAAGAATATTTGGAATCATTAACTTATTGTATCTAAATTTACAAAGTCAGGCAGTTACACAAAGGAAAATGATAACGTGAGTTACACATTTGGCGATTTTGCACAAAACTTCCCCTAAAAAGTATAGGACTTCATTGTTTTCTTTCACCTATTCCCATACACTCGTTTCAACCCAAATACATAATTCATATAAATAAATATATATTGCTTCAGTATCGCCAGCACCGTATTCAGCGACCACCCCTGTGTTAAGCAGTCGGTTGCATTAGTTTTTGTCAGTTGCCAAAGTACCAATTTGTTTCCCTGTAATCACTGTAATTTTTACCTGTATCAAGCAGTTGCCTCTACTTAGCGGTCGCAGTCGACCTTTACTAAGTCCCAACGGCCTCTTTGTATTTCCTTCCACCCGTTTTTAATGGCCACTTATAGCCGAACCACCCAAATAAAATTAAGAATAATCCTTCAAATAACTTTTCATCCATGTCTCTCTCCCAAAATCGAAGTAAACAGTGTTTTTGAGCGAGATTCTGTACATAAAGTGGTCAATTATAACAGTGGCGTTAGTGGCGTTGTGTATGTTATGATTTTGGTTTTTTGCTTGTTTTTTCTTTTTTTGCTATAATACCCCCTATCGGTGGAAACTGTATTAAGAGGTCAATCTACATTAAGCGGTCACACCACCATTCCTAGTGAGTGGCCGCTCAATACGGGATCGGCTGTATCAAGTAATAAGACATGTATCAGGACAGGTCGATCGAATTGCTCCTGATTCAAATTTAATCGTTATCTGAGTGAAGAATTTCGTTCTTTGTTTCTACATTTCGAGTCTTGTCAGCCAATGGCCACACAACGGAATTTTCCTTTTGCAATGAATTATGTATTGGACTTTCCTGTTCATACATTCCAGGAGTTTCTGATTCCAGGAGGGGCTGATTATTTGAGACTCCTTATTCCTGAATGAAACATCTTCGACATACATCTTCGCATTATCAAAAACTGGATCTCTGGATAATGCAGTTCAAAAGTTTTCATGACTTAGCCATTATAGGTTATGGGTCATTATACTGTGTGCGCGCACGGAGACGAGCTACACCGGAAGCATTCTTGTACATTGTAACAATCCGTTGTTCTTACAAAATAAAGTTGGCAAGATTAATGTATAAATGTCCAAGGGCGTTTTTGATTCAACAACTATTCCACTATCATCGCATATCCAACAAGCGCGGGTGGACTAATTGTTTATTAAGGGTATTATAAGCCTGGTTTGCTTACCTTGAATCACTATTTCAAATGATTTCCTTGTGCAGTGGTTTCTGTAACCATTGCCAGCTTGGCAGGTGTAGCAGCCAAATTTATCAACTGTCAGATTTTTAAGCACTAATGGACAGCTTAATTTACGTTTGTGTGCATGTATGTTTGAAGGCTGCCGGCACTTAGCTCCAGTTTCCTTATTCTGTGGATCGTACCACTCGATATAATTGACCCATCTATCGTGATATCCTTTATCCTGTGTTCTGGGCTCCGCTGTACAAGTCAGGGTAACGGAGGCACCAAAGGGTAATCTGTTGTTTTCTGGACTTGAAGATATGTCCACAACGGGTCTGACTGGGTTGGAGAAATTAAACGATAATTTAAAAAAATCAATAATATGCAATCTCTTTACAGCCTATCCGACGATGAGAGAGATTATTAATAAATCTATCTTATAAATTTAATAAGTGTAATTTACAAACTCTTTTCCAATCAAGTTATAATGCAGCCTTTTAATGTTAATTTTTAACTTTTATGTTCCACCTGAAAAAGGCCGAAACGTCGCGCGTGCATTTAAACGCTGGATTAGTCAAGAGTTTACCTACGTCCTTTCTTATCTACACATGCTAAACATTTTGATGAAGATACCTACATTCTCTAGATCCTCTGCCTAAGAGCTGTTTGTTTGGTAGCCATTTTACAGTTTCTGTACATACACACATTCATTTAATGTGCACACAAGGAAAAATTGGCATAAACATGCTCTTTAACTAGGACGTTTAAAAGAAGTTAACACTACTTACTCTTGAGTTTGGAATCGCATGTTTCACCTTTGACGAATGGAAGGATCCATAAAGCGCCAGTAAGAGTTGATAGTACTAAACACATTGACGCTTCTCGAAGCCAAAAGCTACTCATCATCATGACACGTTGACAAATTTGTTGTTTATATGTTTGAAGTGGCCTGCAAAAGGATTGTTTATTCATAATTAAATATGTTATTTTATAGAGGAACGTAGTAAATTGAGGCCATAAGTCGAACTAGGTTGTTATTAACTTATTGCACCTAAACTCAGGCAGTTTAGGTGCAATAAGTTAATGAGGAAAATGAAAAAGTGAGTTACACATTTGATGTGAAAAGGAAAATGAAAAAGTGAGTTACACATTTGGCGATTTTGCACAAAACTTCCGCTAAAAAGTATAGGACTTCATTGTTTTCTTTAACTTATTCCCATAAACTCGTTTCAACTCAAATACATAGTTCTTAAGAAAAATTTTACCATATACATGTGGTTTTAATTTTGCCTCTTAACTTCAGCTTTACCTTACACGTAGCATATATTTAAGATAGGTAAATTCGCCTTCTTTTAAAATTTTATTTTCTCCGCCCCAGAAGGACTACATCTGAAGGAAAAGACATCTTGGTCAGTTATTCGGCTCATGGAAAATGTAACTTCATTAGGCAAAAATGTACATGTTAACGGAGAGATATCCAGCCGCGTAACTGGTCCTTAAAGTGGACACGTGCCTAAGAACTCTCGTTTCTGGAAGATTGAATTTATCTCTCAACCTCGTTGAGAAATGTAAGAGGAGATGTTTTCAGTTGAGTGTCAAACGTGAGAATACCCGCCAGCATTGAAACTTAAGGATTCAATGTCCATTCATTGAGATTAAAAGATCTGAATATTGACCAATATTGCCTTTTAAAACTGAGGTAGAAGTGAGGGAGAATTTTACTCATTATATGAGTCGTGTCGTCTGAAATAGTGACAGCGATATGCATGTTTTTATTTTTCCTGGAAGCAAAAAGTTGACCAGTTCAGTTTTTATCCGTCATATGCATGCTTCCTTTTGGCGACCGTATTAACGAGATGACAATGGGAGTTGAAAGAATCATTTTTGTACATTTTCCAAATAGTTCATCGATAGCAAGAACAGCCAATTTGTTTCTTATAAATAGGCCACAAGCTTATCTCATTTTTAGCTCATTCATGCTGAAAGCAATGAATAGTTCATTTCATGCTGAAAGCAATGAAGGAGGTATTGTGGTAAAGCAGATGTTGGCGGAAGTTGTAGACCGTGGACGGAAGTTGTATTCCATAGACGGAAGTTGCACTGTGGACCGTGAACGGAAGTAGTCTCACATGCAACCCTTCCCCACTTAGTGAAAGCCAAAATTAATTTCGATGAAGCTCATAGCGGGTTCATTTCAACACCACGCTGTTATTGTGACCGATCTTGTCGGCAAACAACGGAGGATTACAACGGATTAAACCTTAAACGATAGGTTTATTCCGCTACACGACTCATGGTCCTTAACAACTACAGTCGGGCATTACATGCACCACTGAGGAGAGTCTGGGTCCTAATACACCATATCCCTCCCCATTTAGATAGAAAACAATAACATTTAGTAGAATTAGAAACAAACCAAGAATTGGTCCAATAAACATAAACATGGACTGGCAACAAAGTCAACAATGTCCCTGAGATTTCAGTGTCTAGAGTTTAAGTATAATAGTCTTTGAGATAGCTTGGGGCCACTCTGTGTCTCTGGGACCTCCTAAGTGGAACTTCAGGCTCAACAACATTTGGTTCCGGTATCACCACACTCTGCTGCGGGGTCAGTTTATCCTGCTTATGGGGCTCTCCAGTCATCACCACTTCCGGTATACTTGGTGTATTATGATGTGTATCACCATTCTCTAGCAGTTTCTTTACATGAGATGCATTGCGTAGTATTGGGCTCCTCCTGGAGATTGTACGATCAAGCTCTTGCCATGCTTGTTTACCACAGTGTACGGACTTGGTTCAAAACGGGTTGTGAGCTTGTTTTTCCTCTCTTGTTGCACTAGTACTTGATCTCCAGGGAGTACCTCTGAGTACCTCGCATTTCTCTGCACGTCAGCATACGCTTTGCTCTTACTCTTCTGTTAATTGTCCCTATCACGCACTTCTTATTCGACATATACATCGCTAAGCTCAGGGAGTTTGGTACGTATTTTCCGTCCGAAGAGCAACTCGGCATGGGCTTACACCAGTCGTTGAGTGAGTTAGGCTTCTGTACGCTGCAAGATAAACATTCAACTCTTTCTTCCAGTCCTTCTTTTCAGCATGTGCGATTTGGAGCCTTTTCAGAAGTGAGTCATTTTGGCGCTCAACTTCTCCATTTGCCTGGGGCCATTTTGCTGTTACTCTGTGATGTCTGATTCCCTGCTGCTCCGTGTACTCTGTAAACTCTGTTGCTGCGAACTGTGGTCCATTGTCAGATGTCAGGCTCTCAGGTAGACCATGTCTTGCAAATATCTCTTCTAGACTCGAGATGACTTTAAAGGCAACTGTGGATCTCATGATGTCTATCTGGTAGTAGCGACTATAGTAGTGTAGTGGTGGCGACTATGGTAATACACGACGACCAGTATGGACTCACCAGTGGGGAGTGGTCTGAGCAAATCAAATGTCAAATCTCTCCATGGTCCAGTCGACAATGCTGTGCTCCTGATAGGCTCTGGTGGGCTGGGACGGCTGACTAACTGACATCCAAAGCAGGTTTTGCAGTGTTTTTCAGCATCCTTTTCCATCCCGGGCCACCACACTTTATTACGCAACTTCTGTTTGGTTCCAACGATGCCTAGATGAGCTTAGTGAGCGAGGGACAACACCCTGGGTCTGAGTTTCTTCGGGATAACGATTCTTGTCCCTCTTAATATCAACTATTCCATGTTGCACAGTTCACTACTACATGGGAGGTATCTCTTGTGAGCTAGCTGATTCCACAGTTTTCTGTTTAAGCATTCCTTGACAGCACAGAGTTCCTCATCGATTGCTGAGGCCTTTTCCACTTCTCGTGCAGTCATAACACAGGGGGTCGCATTTATGGCTACAAATCTGACATATTCTTCAGCTTCAGCTAAGTGACTGCTGGTGGTTTTGAGATTTCCCACTAGCCTTGAGAGGAGGTCAGCAATGTCACTCGGTCCAGGCTCATACATCACCTTGAATTTGTATGGCTGCATTCGTAGCACCCATCTTTTATGCGTGCACAGGGTTTTGACCTTCAGCCGTAGATAACTTCCGGCGGCTTGTGAATTGTAACAAGATCAAATGGCACACCATACACATTGGGATGGAACTTTTCGCAGGCCCATACGAGCGCCAGCGCCTCTTTCTCTGTCTGCGAATATCTTCTCTCGGTTTCTGTCACCATTCCTCTGCTTTTGGGTGAGTACCGCTCCCAGTCCAACTGGGCTGGCATCAGCAATTACAAGGGTTGGGGCATCTTTGTCTAAGTATCCCAAAGTCTCAGCACGAGCCAATTGACTTTGTCAGGCAACGTAAGGGCTCAGAGACCGTTGCCAGGTCGGGTATGAAGCGGCCACAGTAGTTTACAAGCCCGAGAAAACTTCGGGTTTCCGATACTGTTCGAGGTTCTCGCGCCTCTTTCACGGCTTTAACCTTTTCTTCTGTGCAGCTGAGCCCGTTCCCGGACAATACCATGCCAAAGAATGTGAGCTTATCCATGCTAAACTGGCACTTTTCTGCAATGGGGGTCAGTCCACGTTCCTTTCATCTCACAATGGCTTTCTCCAACTGCAGATCGTGTTCTTTCTGGTCTTTACCTTGTAAGATGATCTCATCTGAAATGTTCTCTTGCCCCTCTATACCCGCAACTGCCGTCTGGATCTCGTAATGATACTGTTTGGAAGCAAAGTTAACACCAAACAATAGTCTCTTGTATCTGTAGCAAATGTAGTAATCTCTCGTGATTTTGGGGAAAGTTCAAGTTGGTGGTATCTCCACTTAAGGTCAAGTTTGGAGAATACCTTGCTGCCACTTATGCTCTGAGTAATCTCATCAACAGTAGGGATTGGGTGTCTGGCTCTCCGCCTCATTAACCCTTGGCATGTCAATGCAAAGACGTATGTCGCCCCCTGACTTTGGAACAACAACGATTGGATTAACCTATGGTGAGGGCCCTTGTGCAGGTTCAATAATGTCTAGTTCAATGAGTTCCTTAATCTTTTCTTCCAACTTTGATCTCATGCTTAATGGAGTCCTCCGCATCGGCTGTGCTACTGGCTTCACATCTGGGTCGATGTGGAGTTGTACTGCTCTGTCTCTCTGTCTCTGTCAACTTTCCAACGCCGCTGAAAACATTTGGGTCTTCTTTTGCAGGACTTCACCAATGGTATTTGGGTTTGCACTTACTGCAGTGATGCCTATCCCTATTTTCAGTACGCCTAGACTAGTTGCAGTGTCCTACCCTAGAAATGGGTCTCTTTCACCATTGATCACACAAAACTTAGCACTAGCAGTGTTGCTTCCTGCAGAGACTTCACAGGAGAATGTTCTTATTACATCAAGTGGTGTCTGGGATGCATAGGCATAGAGTTTCCTACTCGAGCGTGCTGATTCGCACTTCACTTTGTTTTTCTTCAACCACTCCCATGTTTGCTTGTCAATGATGTTAGTGCTTGCTCCAGAATCTATGATCATGTTCAGCTTACAACCGCCAACGTTTACTCCAATTTTCTCCTCATTCTTTTCCCCTACCGTAAAAGCATACACTGGTTCCTCTTCTTCGTGGTGGCAACCAACCATATTTGCAGCAGTTCCCTTAGGTTCCTGTAGCCTTTGGTTTGCTTTTGCTTTTCTTCACCTTTCTGCTTTGTCTTCAATGCTCTTGAAAATTTCCTTCCAGCCCACATCGATGACAGGATTGACCTCTTGCTGGACAGTTGGAATCTCGACCGAAATGCTCAGTTCTACCACATCGATGACAAGTTTTCTTACGGCCGGTTTTGGTACCTCGTGACTGGTTTCTCTTGCCATGGCCTATTTTTGTTCCCTCTATGCGGTTTACACTAACTGAATTCTCTCCCTTTTCTTCTATGGTCATTGCAGCAAGCTGTGTGTCAACTTTCTCTCAGTTTTCGGCTATTTCAAGCGCTCTAGCTAAAGTGATACCTTGACGTTCTTCCAGGAGTTTTCGCTTTATGTACATGCTGGTGCACTTGCAGAGGATTTCATCACGAATTTGGTTATCTGTGCCTTCGCCATAGTCACAATCTTTGGATGCTCGTCTGAGACTGGTTGCAAACTATCGGATTGTTTCCCCTGGTGCTTGAATTAGCTGTCTGAAACAATGTCTAGCATACTTAGTGTCGACTTTGAGAGCGAGGTATGCGTTCAGTGCAGCGACCGCTTTCCGGTAATCCTTCAAATCTCCTGTGTTCGGTAAGGAAAATATCTTGAACTTCGAGACCCGCAAGATAGAGCATTAACGCACGTCTCCTGCCTGTTGTTCGCGTTGTCTTCATTTAAAATTAAGCCTTTGCCGTCTGCAAATCGTTCGAACACTGTCAGTCATCGCTTTCATCGCAAACCAAGCGTGTTTTTGTCCCCATGACAGTCGAATGTTCGTTCATCATCGTCCATGTTTCTTGCGAACTTTTCGTCTCGCTGACTTCTTGGTGTCTTGTTTCACCCTCGTCGCCAATGTTGTGACCGATCTAGTCGGCAAACAACGGAGGATTACAACGGATTGAACTCAAACGATAGCTTTATTCCGCTTACGACTCGTGATCCTCAACAACTACAGTCAGGTGTTACATGCACCACTTAAGGGGGAGTCTGGGTCCTAATACACCAAAGCTGCGACCAGGAGGAAGAGCATGAGCCGCACATTTGCGTTCGTCTTCGGTTGGTATAAAGTAATCATTGCTCCATCACTGTGCTTTTCTTTGGGAGCTCTTCAACATACAGTCCACACATCAATCATAGCGGCTAAGATAGTCTAACTAAATTTTTTTTCGAGCTCCAATATTTCGGTCCAGACTTGAGTCTCGCTCGAACAAAAACAACAATACCAATCCGATTAGTACAAAATGTAGACTGCAGAATACAGACCGGGTACAAAAAGCAGACTGAGAATTTATACTGTTTTTTCGTCTGATACGTGACACCATACGTGATAACATGTCATCTTATCATTTACCGAGCGTCACGCAATCCCTTTTCCGTGATCATCTTTCTCGATTATTTGCACTATTGTGGAATATTCCATGGCCGTTTCTTGATCACAAACGTTGTTAATATAATTTCAAGCCTTTGTACAGTCGAGAATGTCTAATTGTCGCGTGCCACGGGTCGCGGGTAAATTGTCGCGGGTCGCGAGTGAAATGTCGTGAGTCCAAAAATAGAACTTTAATAAAAAAAATTGAACTTTTTTAATTTGACCTGATAACAAGTAATTAGCTGATGACAAATTTCAAATTGTAATTGCTTAAATTTTGTAAAAGTTCTTTTTTCATTGCGAATTGTTTGGAAGAAGAAATGAACAAAAAATTCAAACGCATCGATCTCAAAATTTAATTATCAGTCAACAGAATTGCAAATTGTCAAACCATTATCTTTGAAAGCTGCTTTTGTGATGTTAGTTAATGAACTGTCAGCTCTGATTCTATCCGGTGGTTTTAAATTGGTCCAATGTGGTATCCTGTTTATGCATTGATGCTTCGGACAAAAATAAAACATTGTTTCTATAACGAAATTCTGTTTATAAGGGACATAAACTCTTTAACGGTGACGGTAACTTCATCGTCATTTTGGATTTTTCTACAAGCCCGGCATCTTGGTGCTTGTCTTCGTTTTTTTCTTCTTCTTTTCTAGAGTCCAGACTTGTTGGTTTTTACTTCGAGGGTCATTTGAAACGTGGTCCTGTATTACTTCTCTTCTTGTCTTTGTTGTGGCCTTTTTATAAACAAGGTTCTGCAGTATAAAAGAGTCTGCATTTCCAACAACAGACAGGGCTTCGTTATCAGTTAGAAATAGCTGCTGCAAGAGATTACTGTTTTCTGGCAGTAATGTCCGTACGGGCCTGAAACTTTTTCAGGTCCTATTTACAACTATTCGTTTCAGCAGTGTTCTTAGCTGCGAGGATCTCCTAATTTCATCTTTCCACCGCAGTGCAAATATGTGAATTTTCATATATCTAAAATCTTTGTCCAAATGATATGTTTACATACTTCTTCTCCAGCACAATCACAGGAGGGACTTTTTCCAATGTCTACTCTATGATTAGAATTTTTTCTTTGGTTAACTATGTAAGCTCTATGATGGGCTGTGGAGGAGTCTATTAGGGACCTTACGATCCGACAACGGCGACGGCGACGTGGGACTTTTTTACTTCCGGTTACGTACTGCGCATGAGTAGATTTCTGAGACGGCGGTGTCCCTTCACGCCCGGACGTCTAGAAGCCTTGTTTGACGTTGTGCGAAAACGTGGAAATTAAAACCCAACTATGGCAAATGAATCAAGGTAAAAACGAGACTTTGCTACTAAATTTAAA